TTGTTTGTTTGTTTGTTTTTACATGACTATTTAGCCCTCCTGGCCCTGGGTCCTGCAGCCTCAGGGATGAATGAGCTTTGCCTTCTTTTGACTTCCTTTTTATGGGGTGATGCCTGCCTTTGGAGAGCCTGTTTGCAGATTCTGCTGAACTTCCAGCAGAGGATCCAAGTGTACTTCCCCCTCTGGCCACCAGGGTGCGTGCAGCCCTTCACAGGCGGCTGGCATTGAATGTTATGCCAGGCCATGCTATGACATCAACCCTTTTCTTTCTCCAGAACCCCCTGATAGTTGCTTAAATGAGGTCATCTCACACACACACACCTCCCCCCACACACACACACCCACAAGCATAAACACACACACACACATATTTGTAATTTGCAACAGAAACTCTTCAAAGCCTGTGGATATAGATAGCCCTAAACCTCTAGTTTTCTTCGGTATTGTATTTGGGAAGACTGGCGGTTGATAATACCTGTGCCTGAGTTGGCCTTCTGCCTGGAACTCCCTCCTGCCCATTCTGACTGCCGACAGGACCTCCCCCGCGCACCCTGCACCTTCATTTGTTCTCCTGTAGCACTTATTTTTATCCTCAATTTATCTTTTTAATCCCATGTTATGTAATCATGCTATTTTTGTGTTTATTTGTATGAATGAGTAAGTATGCATCATTTTTATTCATATACATAAGAACTGTACTTGTAAAAGGACTTGAGGTATTTTGTGGATTAAAATACAGTACATGTAAGGACAACTTGTAAAAAATTCTTCCTGAAGACATTTGGGGAAAAGGAATCTCCAGGTCTCAAACTGAGTGACCCTCTGCCTTCTTAAAGTTTGATGTGTACAATACAGTATCATTAACTCTAGGCACAATTTTGTACAGCAGTTCTCTGGAATTTATTCCTCTTGTGTAACTGAAATTTACCTGCACTTTGAAGCTTTCTAATAGTCAAGGCAAAATGATATATGAACAGGATTTCTTTGTTTTGAGCAGCTTTTCTAAGGAAAATATGTTCAGGTTCACCGATAGCTATAAAATGTAAACTGCTGGTCCTCGTCAGAGGCTTTGCTGCAGGTGTCGTAATGGGCCTTTGGCTTTCAGTTATTTTAATAACATTGCAGAGTGTGACTTTGGATGCTGAGATACCTGAGGAAGAAAAGTTTTAATTCCTCCTCGTTTTTCCCTTTATCCTTACACCTTTCCTCCCTTTCTTCCAAGTTTGTCCTAATTTTCAACCAAGAAACAGACTAGTAAATCCATAAATGAGCAACAAGATATTTTCCTGGTTAAAATATCAGAAATTTTATTGGCATTCTATAGGAACCCTAAATTTCACAAAGCTCCTTTATAGAAAACTTCCCACCACCTTCATGAAAAGGGTTTGCTCAATTATAAAGATGTATACCTGTAATATGAAAGAACTTCAGACGTTAAGGAATTTGAACACTCATTTTGCGTCTAGGTATTTGACTTGAAAGGGCGAAGTCTTTAAGTACTGCTCTATTTAAAGAAATTGACTAACATTTGTGGGTGGGAGGTGACAAAATTGGGTGCAGTAATCCTAGAATTATTTAATTATTTGGTGACATTATTATGCCTGGCATTATGGTTTTATGAACATTCTACACATAAAGCGTCCATGTGTCTCCATTAGCCTGAGATGGATTCTCTTGCAGCAGTTGAGATTATACCGTGAGACATCTAAAGGAAGCAAAGCAGATAGAAATGTGATCAGAGAACACAATTCCACCTTTCCAAGGAAAACAAACAAGCAATCTATGACACCTGGACTCTCCATGGTCCTCCTAGAGCCAGGACATCTTATAGCCAGGATAAGGCCTAGATGCAGCCTCCTACATACACAAATCAGAAGGATGGAGAAATGAAGCCTGCAGGGTGCCCTCCTCAGAGGACGCCCCCTTGGGAGGGGAGGAAGGTGCCCTCCTCAGAGGACGTCCCCTTGGGAGGGGAGGAAGGTGCCCTCCTCAGAGGACGCCCCCTTGGGAGGGGAGGAAGGTGCCCTCCTCAGAGGACGCCCCCTTGGGAGGGGAGGAAGGTGCCCTCCTCAGAGGACGTCCCCTTGGGAGGGGAGGAAGGTGCCCTCCTCAGAGGACGTCCCCTTGGGAGGGGAGGAAGGTGCCCTCCTCAGAGGACGCCCCCTTTGAAGGCAGTCAGAACGACCAGGAGGGAGTTTTGGGCAGAAGACCAGCTCAGACACAGGCATCAACATCCAGTCTTCACAAATATAATACCAATGAAAACTAGAGGCAGGGCTCTCTATAGCCTACAGCCTTTGAGGGGCCAGCCAGGACCTCAGCGTTCTGGCCTCTCAGGGTAGGAGCCCTACGTGGCTAGAATGTCCTGCTGAGGTCTTTCTGGGGAATAGCCATCAAACCCACGTGTTCACGTGCATTATGCCCATTTTCTCCATCCCTCTCTGTTTTAATGGCCATTCCCCCCTCCTTTTAGAGACCACCCATTCCATGTAGCCTCTTCTCTCCCTGGACTGCTGCCCCAGCCTTCTAACTGACCTCCCTGTTTTTCACCTTTGCTCCCCTAAAGTTTATTCTTCACCCAAAGCAAACCAGATGGTATAACTACGTATCTCCTTAACTAATCATTGCTTGCTTGCACTTAGAACGAAGATTCAAACTTCGTAACTGCAGGGCAGGGGCTGCATGCTTTGGCTCCTGCCTGCGTAAGTAAGTATCCTCCTTCCCAGTGCTAACCAGGATCTGCAGTGAATCACTGGTTTTTAAATTTCCAAACCATGTGGGTGGGTATTTTTGTGAAATGTAACAAAGACAGCTCAGCAAGGTCATGTGGCTATGGCACTCCCTCTCAGTTTCTGCTCATCTCATCCTGGGCTGGTAGGAAGCCTTTCAGGACCAGCATGGGTTGTGGGTGCTGCTTTGAGGAGCAGCATCTCTCCACAATGATCCTGAATGTGTCCTTAGGACAAGCCACTCTCTGTAACCCCCTGGCTTGCGTTTTGTCTCCCCCAGTAGAATGCTAGCTCCACAATGACAGGGAGCTTGTCTTGGACTTGCCGTCCCTCCATCCACAATGCTGGAACCAGCACTGAAGCACACCAGGTTCTTGCTAAATCCTTGGGGATGCTCCAGCACCTTGAGGCGCCTGTCCTGCTCAGCCAAAGCAGGAGGAAATCATAGGAGGTCCAGGCTCCCTGCCTTCTCCCCGAGTGGATCTGCTTCCTCTCCACAACCAGTATTGGACATGGAGTCTGCCTCAGTCACTGTTAAAATGACTAGAATACAGTAATTCTGGCTTCAGAGCTATTGCCAACTCACTGCATGACCTTGACCAGTGACTGCAATACTGCATATGTCTGTTTCTATGTCTGTTTCTATGTCTGTCGAGTAAGCATGGCATTTCCTTCCCCCCATGAAATCAGGTAATGCCCTTGCACACACTTGGTGACTTCCAAAATGCTATGCCTGAGTGGCTTTGCAACTATGTGTCAATGTTGTTACTAAAAATCAAAGCCAATTTCTAACTTTCTAACTGCTTAGTTATGAATAGGATATGCTTGGCTACAACTGATCTGTTGTAAAAAACTACCCTTCCCTGCCTTTGTGGCCCGGTCTTCTGCCTTCCTGCAGGCCACCTCTTGCTCTTCGTAGAAACCATTTATTGTAGATATTCAATAATATCTGCATAGCCACCCATTTTCCAATTTTTAAAAATATTCTTTAGCTTCAAATTTTAGGGGAGTTCTGTGAAGATGACAAGGTGGTAGCTCTTAGAAAGATAGTAAGTCAAAATCAAAATTGATAACATAGCGCCAAGGTGTGTCTAACTTTATTTCTTTAACTCTGATGTTGTTTGGGATCACCGGCCACCGACTAAGCAGCCCAGAACCTTGGTGTAGTGTGTGTGTAGACTGCTGACCATGTGTGAGCTGAGCAGTAGCGTGGTGTGTGTGTGTGTGTGTGTGTGTGTGAAGAGCATAGATTCACAGGAGCCAGCTGTGCCATTTCCTAGCTACATGATGTTGGGCACCTTTTTAACTACTCTGAGACCTGGTTTCCTTGTCTACAAAGTTGGCCTAATTAAAGAACCTTCGATTATGAGTTCCAAGTGAGTTAATACTTGCCTGGTACATAGTTTGTGCTGTGTAAATATTAGTTATTATTATTTATTGAGAGAAAATACGCTTTCACAGATACATTTTGAAGTCTTTTTTTCTCCAGTTTTATTGAGATAGAATTGGCTTGCAGAACTGTATAAGTTTAAAGTGTACAGCATAATGATTTGGCTTATGTATATATTGTGAAAAGATTACCATATTAAGGTTAGTTAACATCTATCATCTGATACAGAAGCAAAGAAAAAATAAACCTTTTATGGTGAGAACTCAGGGTTTACTCTCATAGGAACTTCCATACATGTCACACAGCAGCGTTAACTCTAGTTGTCATGTGGGACATCACACCCTTCATACTCCGTCATACTTATTTATTTTATAACTCAAAGTGGGTACCTTTTATCACCTTTATCCTGTTCCCCTGCCACCCTCCACCACTACCTCCCCTAACCTCAAGCCTGATCTCTTTTTCTATGAGTGGTTTTCTTGTTTTGTTTTGTTTTTTATTTTAGATCCCATATAGAAGTGAGATCTTTCTCTGCTGACTTATTTCCCTTAGCATAATGCAGTCAAGGTCTGCCTGTGTTGTCACAAATGGCAGAATTTCCGCCTTTTTGTGGCTGAATATATTCCACTGTATATACGAATATGTCACGTTTTCTTCATCTATCAGTGGACACTTAGGTCATTTCCATTTCTTGGCTATTATAACTAATGCTGCCATGAACATGAGGGTGCAGATATCTCTTCAACATAGTGTTTTTGTTTTCTTTGGATATATTTACAGAAGTGGAATTGCTGGGTTTCTCTAGTACATGTTAAAGTATAACATTTTTCATGGAAAATTTTACATCTGACTTGCTTTGATCGTTTAAATTTTTTCTGCAGGCTTTTGTGGAGGCCCAGAACAAGATTACTGTGCCATTTCTGGAGCAGTGTCCCATCAGAGGTTTATTCAAAGAGAGAATGACCGAACTGTACGACTATCCCAAGTATAGTTGCCACTTTAAGAAAGGAAAACGGTATGTGAGGTTGCTTTCATTTAATTTTATTTTGCTTTTCTAATTGAATGCTTTCTTAAATTTTAAAACAAATCCTAAACATCAGTTTATCAAGTTAATTCATTATAAAATCTATTCATTTCTGTGCTTAAATATAAGAATAATACCTTTGTCTAGTGTCCAAATTCTTAAAATAAGGGTTAAGAAATTTAGTAGATGTCAACTATGATTAAAAATGAATTTTAAGAAAATGAACGTAATCACTTTTTTCAGTGATTACTGAACGTGATCACTTTTTTCAGGAGGAAAAAGAAGAAATTTAGTAGAGATATGTCCTAGGAAGAAATCTAGAGTGTAAGAAATTTTTATTTCCTATGGTTAGTAATTGGTGGGATGGAATGATTCATAGACAACAATGGAGACTTGTTTGCCTCTAAAACAGCTTATCTTTGGGGTAATACTACCTGAAAATATTTTATTAGATGCATTTCTTTTATTTAAAAATGACAGTTGTCCATTAAGTAGAACCTAATAATTCACCTCTCTTGTTCCTCTCCTTTTGACACTCACTGAAACATTTTCTCATGTTGGTTTTTTAACCCTTGTTAGAAATACCATCAAAAGTTTACTGTAGAATTTCTTAGATGCCCCCCTCTCCCCACCAAGTATCAGCAAAGTACAGTCTGCATGCCACACCCTGCCACCACTTGTTTTTATAAATTAAGTTTAAATGGCACACAGCCGTATCAACTCGTTTATGTGTTCCCAGGGCTGCTTTTGTACAACTGCAGAGTTTGTAGCAGCAACGGAGACCAGTGGCCCACAAAGCCTGAAAGTTTGCCAACCCCTACCTAGCAGCCTGGCTAGGGAACAGAAACAGCATTTTAAAAATCTGCTTGCTTCTCAATTGAAAAGAAATAATTACTGCTTTATTTGAATATTAGTATTAATTTTAGCAAATAAGTCTTTGTCTCTATTTGGCTGAAATGCAGAATTTGAACACATAAAGCAATTCAGATAACAAACTAAGTAAAGGGAGATGGTAGGACCTTCCACACTAGTTCCCCTGTCCCTGGCACAGCCGGTTTGCACTTGTGTCTTTGTGTGTGTGTATGTGTATGTGTGCGTGCGTGCGTGCGTGCATATGTGCGCGCGTGCGCTTTTCTTCTTTTTGCTTACATTCATTTGGTTTTTCTCCAGTGACAGAAAACTCCATAGCTAAATAAAGACTGTCTCTGTCCCCCAGGTATTTCTATTTTTACAATTCAGGTTTGCAGAATCAACGAGTATTATATGTACAGGATTCCTTAGAGGATGAAGCCAGAGTGTTCCTCGACCCCAACGTCCTCTCTGATGACGGCACGGTGGCGCTTCGAGGTGTGTGGTCCCCAGCCAAGCCCCGGGGTTCCGGGGCCCTCACACAAAGTTCTCCCTGTGTCAGTGCCTCACCTCTCAAATACCAGACAGGACATGGACCATCTTGCAGAACAGATGCACACACAATATCAGGAAGGCTAATTTTTGCTCAGTATACTTAGAATACATTAGTCACCTGTTCTTCTGAGGACAGGAAGCAGAGCTGGAGCATGCTGCTCACTGGACCCAAGTTCGCTTCTACGGCTCCTGGGGTCCTGAAGCATTATCATCACTTCCTGTACTATCCCTGAGCACTGTCTAATTGGAAAAAAGAATTAACCCTTGTCTATAAGAATTTTAAACTATACAAAAAATGTTTCAATGTTAAAAATAGGAAGGAATGTTTGTGAGGTTTAGTTCCTTGCAGGGGACTGATAAGAGTTTTAAATTTTAAATACATGTCAGTATGTTAGAATTGAATGTAGAAAAATACAATCTTGTAAAAATTGGACATGGTACACTGCCCGCTGAAGATGCAAGTTTAAAAGCTGAATAAGTACAGTTAGCCTGTAGTCGCTTTGTGGCCCCTAAGATAACCTCCTCCACAGGCTTGAACCCAGATGGCCCCAGGCTTGCTTCACCGCACTAGTCCTGGGTCAGGGGGTCTGCTCTTCTGTGCTTCAATAATTGTGTGCTCTGAGAACCACATCTTGGTAGCATTATAGATGCTTTTAGTTCAGTTGGCTCATCTTCTGTAGCATCTTTTGTCGTATTAAAAAAAAAACCACACAGGTGTAGGTTCAGTCCTACAGAATTGAGCATTTGGAACACTGAATTCCTATAATCAGTTAGGTGGGAATTAAGTAGATCTGTGTAAAGACCCTTTTACAAAGACATTCATTTAGTTAGTAATTCCCTTTCCCCCATCTCCCCAGATAGGCTATGCATGTAAATGATGACTCTTTACCAACTAGTTTTGAAAGTAAGATGCAGGTCAGTTTATAAGAGCTTATAATTCTTATAACTGTTCCATGAATTTGAGCTTGGAGCTAAATGAACTTAATACACTGGTTCCGTGTAATAATGTACCTTGTATAAGAATTCATTTAGTTCGAACAAAGGTCTTGCAACTCATCCAGAAAGGCTTCATTATAACAGGGTCTCACCTCTTGCTCTGATAATTCGTTCTAGTATTTTTTCAGTGGAATTTTCACCATGTACAGGCTCTGATGGGTGAAAAGGAAAATTAGACCTGGGACCTGGCTTTAGTCTTAGGTAATGGTGTTGTAGGGAAGTAACAGTAGGGTCAACATTCAGATTCTTTTGAGAGTATATATTGTACATTTTTTAAAAAATATATTTTAAATCGCAGTGTTTTATTTAAATTTTTCCTGAAAAATGTCTAATTATATATAAATAATTTAAACACTACAATGTTATATAGAGAGGAAAGTGAATAATTTCTCCCAGTCATCTTTTAGATGCTTTTCTGCCATTATGTACATAGGAGCCTGGATATTTTTATAGAGATTATAAGTGATTAATACGTAGGCTTTCTGAAATTTTAAACATATTTCCCATTGATAGAAGTTTCACGTAAAATAGTAGGAAACCTCCAAAAATATCTGGGTTTCTTAGGATAATTTTCAACCCCTTAGTACAGTTCAGCAAACATCACACATGAGGAAACCCCTGGTGCCAGTGTCTGGTGCCAAACGCTATATGCGTTGTACTTCATAATCATAAAAGCTACTGTAAACACGTAAATTTTTGTCAGGACACCTTCCGTAGTGATGACTATGTTCTCCGACAGCACTAAAGAATTGCACATGGCAGCGTAGTCCAGAGATGGTGATGCATTTCTCTTCTGTGGTTCCTTTGGAATGTGCGCTGCTGTGTGAGGTCTGCCTTGCAGACCCTCAGGCCTTATCTGCCTGGGCTTGTGGTGGTCAGAAGGTATGGCCTGAGGGCCAGCAATGCTCAGAAAATGATGTTGTGAAGAGTGAGCTCAGATAGTTTGGAATCCATTCCAAAAATTACCTAATGACTCCACTTTTGTTCTGTTACATGATGTGTCATAATTCAGTCATTACTCTAAAAGCAGTCTCCTTATGCCTTCCCCCTCATTCTTTTTAGAATATAAATAAAATATGCTAAAAGTCCGAGATGAGCTCTGCTTTTAACTAAACTGCCTATTGAATTATAGAAATTAAAAAATGGAAGCACCTTAATGGTCATACAATCCAATACTTCATTTTACAGATGAAGAAATGAAGACTTGTCCAAGGTCGTAAGACAAATGCCTGGAAGGCCTGGGCTCGGCCCTCGGAGTTTCTCACTGCCACGTTCTGCCCCCGTGTATGACAGACAGCTATGACCGGCCGTGCAGAGGGCAATGGGAGCAGAGCTGGGAATTGAGTCCCCATCACTGTTTGATTTCTCCTGTGTTCCACAGGCTATGCATTCAGCGAAGATGGTGAATATTTTGCCTATGGCTTGAGTGCCAGTGGCTCAGACTGGGTGACGATCAAGTTTATGAAAGTCGATGGTGCCAAAGAGCTTCCAGATGTGCTTGAAAGAGTCAAGTTCAGCTGTATGGCCTGGACCCATGATGGGAAGGGAATGTTCTATAACTCTTACCCCCAACAAGATGGAAAAAGTGATGGTAGGTTAAAACTTCAGATAAAGACACAACTTTTTTATAAAACAGAAGTGTGACTCATAACTTTAAAAGAAAAGCTGAACCCCAACAGAGGCTGTTGGTCTAGAGCCTGGATTCCTAAAGGACATTGTATCAGTTAGCTTTGTTGTGTGACAGATCACCCCAAACCTTGGTGGCGTAGAGTTATGACCATTTATTTTGCTTAAGTCTGTGGGCCCACCAGGCAGTTTTTCTGGGCCCCACTGAGTTTACATTCCTGTGGCCAGCTGCAGGTCCGTTGGCTGACCTTGGCTTGACTCTCTCACACGGCGGGGTCCTCGGCTCGGCGCCATGTGGTCCCATCCTTGAGCAGGCTAGTTCTCACAGCGGCTCAGCAGAACTCCAAGGGGGAGAGCTGAAAGGCACAACCTCTTGGATGCCTGGGCCTGCTATGATCGTATCATCACTCCCCTGAATTCTGTCTCAGCCAGCCCCTCTTCAAAGGGTGCTGAAACAGATACAGGGAACTGTGAAAAATTGAGGCTATTACTGCAATCAGCATTTCACAAATGGGTTCTGTCTCTCAAGGGGATCATGGAGAAATGGATTTTTTTATTTAATGATGTTGAGTGATTATAAAATTTTCCTACTGCGGTAATGATATCTCTTCCCCTGATTAGGAGTTGCAAGTCCCTTGTTGGTTGCGTTTATCTTGATGCTTTTCTCCTTGTTAACTTCCTATACACACCTATTCTCTTCAGTTGCACAAAGATCCTGTTGTGTTCAGTGGTCCCCCTTTTTTTTTTACCCCCCCCCTCACTCTTCATATTCCCAGATAGGAAGTCTTCTGTACCCCAACATCATGTTCTTTATGCCATTCCATATTTCCACTCAGGACATAGCATTTTCATGTTGCCTTGGCTGGTCTTTACAGGTGGGTTTTACAGTCCCTTTGATAGAGAGTTGGAGCTGGGTTGCAGAGTGTCAGTTACTTGTTTCAGGGCCTGGGGCTGCCAAGAAGCACAGCTACTCCAGTGTATTCTGCTGCCCATGTTGGCCCCTTGTCATGACTTCTGCATCTTTGAAATCTTTCGGTGTGCTTTTCTGTTCCCGCCTCCCCCCGCCCCTGCCCCCGCCCCGCAGCTGAATTGGGAATAGGGCTGTAACACCTTTCATCTCGTTTGGCTATGTTTAGCGTCTGCTGCCTTTTGATTAGACTACTACAATACCTTTCTCTGAATTCACCCATGAACTACAAGAGGAGCTAAGAGGTTTTATAATCAAAGGTGTTGGCTAAAGAAAGACCTCTGTGCTGTGTGCACTGAAGTAGCTGCCTGTGTTAGGAGTGCCGGGGGTTAGAAAATGTTGGCTACTTCCAGGTTGTGGGAGATCAAACAAAGTATGTAACTGGCCATTTCTTGTTAGAGAACAGTGTTATTAAGTTAACTTGTGGAAAACATGGGAATTTTTAGTTACCCTCAGCTTTCAGTGACAAAATAGTGACGTGGCTAAACCAAGGAAAGCCGGCGCCTCCCAGCTGTCGGTTGTTGCGCTGCGGTCCGGAGCACCGCGGCAGCCGCTCGGGTTGAGAGATGGAGGCCCTCACAGGACACGCCAAGCAGCTCTGGCTATGTACTTCTTCCCGGTGTTCCTGGGAAACCCTTGGAAACTTATCAAGTACTCGAAGGCTTTTTTCTTTTTTTTCTTTTTTAATATGGTACTCCCTTACTTTTTCTCTTCATTGTCCTGAAAGCTTGGTACATTTTCAAAATGAAAAAAAATATATAGTTGTCTCACAACAGCCTCAAAAATTAACAGATATGTGTGAAGTACTTCCAGGATGATACCCAACTGATTCTGAACTTTTTTTTTAATAGTTAGCTTTTAGAGCAGTTTTAGGTTCACAGCAGAATTAAGTAGAAGGTACAGAGATTTCCCATACATCCCCTACCCACACACATGCATACCCTCCTCCATCATCAACATCCCCCAGCAGAGTGGTACAGCTGATGAGCCTACACTGACACATCATAATCACCCCAAATACATAGTTTACATTTAACTTCAGTCTATGTTGTATATTCCATGGGTTTGAACGAATGTGTAATGGATACGTATCCACCATTGTATCATACAGAATAGTTTCAGTGCCCTAATAATTCCCTGTGTTCTACCTATTTATCTTCCTCCGCTCCTAACCCCTGGAAACCACTGACCTTTTTACTCTCTCCAGAGTTTTGCCTTTTTCCAGAATGTCTTATAGTTGGAATCACAGAGAATCTAGCCTTTTCAGATTGGCTTCTTTCACTTAGTTATATGCATTTAAGGTTGCTCCATGTCTTTTCATGGTTTGATAGCTTATTTTTTTTTTTTTTTAGCACTGAATAATAACTCCATTGTCTGGATGTACCACATTTTGTTTATCTATTCACCTACTGAAGAACAGCTTGGTTGCCTTCAAGTGTTGGCAATTATGAATAAAGATGTTATAAACATTTGTGTGCAGGCTTTTGCATGGACATAAATAAGCTTTCAACTCCTTTGGGTAAATACCAATGAGTGGGAGAAGCTGCCAAACTGTCTTCCAAAGTGGTTGTACTATTTTGCACTCACACCAACAATTAGAGTTCTTATTGCTGCATGTCCTCATCAGCATTTGGTGTCATCAGTGTTGATTTTGGCCACTTTGATAACTCTATAGTCATATCTCATTGTTTTACTTTGCTTTTTCTTGATGAGATGATGTCGAGCACCTTTTCATATCCTTATTTGCCATCTGTACTGTATATCTTCCTTGATGAGGTATCTGTTAAAGTCTTTGACCCATTTTTTTAATCAGGTGGTTTGTTTGCTTATTGTTGAGTTTAAATAATTCTTTGTTATTTTGAACAACAGTCCTTTATCAGCTATGTCTTTTGCAAAGATTTTCTCCCAGGTCGTGGCTTGTCTTTTCATTTTCTTGACAGCATCCTTCACAGAGCAGGTTTTAGTTTTAATGAAGCTCAGCATATCAGTTTTTTTTCTTTAATGAATTTTGCCTTTGGTGTTGTATCTAAAAAGTCACCACCAAACCCAAGGCCATTTAGGTTTTCCCCTAGGTTGTCTTCGAGGAGTTTTGGAGTTTTATAGTTTTACGTTTACAATTAGGTCTGTGATACATTTTGAGTTAATATTTGTGAAGTGCATAAAGCCTGTGTCTAGATTGTTTTACATGCAGATAGATGTCCAGTTCCAGCAAAGTTTGTTGGGATAAAAGGGGATTTTTTTTCTACTGTAGAGTCTTTCCTCCTTTATCAAGGATCGGTTGATTGTAATATTTGGGCCTGTTTCTGGGCTGTCTACTCTATTCTACTGATCTATTTGTCTGTTTTTGCCAACACCACCAACGTCTTGATTACTTATAATAAGTCAGGTAATGTCAGTTTTCCACCTTTGTTTTCTCCCTTCAATATTGTGTTGGCTATTTGGGGTTTTTTTCCTCTCCACATTTGAGTAAACTTTAGAATCAGTTTATCAATGCCCATAAAATAACTTGTTGGGATTTTGATTGGGATTACAGTGAATCAATAGATCAAGTTGGGAAGAACTAACATCTTGACAATATTGAGTCTTCCTGCCCATGAACATGGAATATCTCTCCGTTTATTTAACTCTTCTTTGATTTCTTTCATCAGAGTTTTATAGTTTTCCTCACATAGATCTTGTACATATTTTGTTAGATTTATACCTAAGTATTCCATTTGGGGGGTGCTAATGTAAATGATAACGTGTCTTCAGTTTCAAATTCCACTTGTTCATTGGTGGTATATAGAAAAGTGATTAACTTTTCTATAATAACCTTATATCCTGCAACGGGATACATAACTTTGTGTCTAGTATAATACAATATGGGTGGAATAGATTCTCTTAAAATTGCAAACTGCATTTCAGTATACATTTTTGAACCCCTCAGGCACAGAGACATCCAGCAATCTCCACCAAAAGCTCTGCTACCATGTCTTGGGGACTGATCAGTCAGAAGATATTTTGTGTGCTGAGTTTCCTGATGAGCCTAAATGGATGGGTGGAGCTGAGGTATTGTACTATAGTGAAATTTTACCCAAAAACACCGTGTCCAATGGATTGTGTATGTAAATATCCTTGTTTTATGATGGCCTTTATGATTGGTAGAAGTTCTTTGAGAGAATAGTCTTTTGTTAAAAATACTGGTATTCAAATTGATTCTTAACAATAGTGATGATAAACCTTTTAACTGCAATTGCAATGTAAATATCTTAATACTAAAAGTTATTCATGTTTATGGTAAAAAATGTAGAAGTACAGAATAACCTACAGTGAAACAACATTGTGACACTCAGGACCCAATTTCTCAGAGGTGAGGAGAATGTCCTAAAAATTTTCCTTTCATATACAAGTAAGAATGTGGGGAGAGAGGTGTGTGTTTCCTTTTTTGCACATTGTGCTCTTTGTGTATATTGTTTACTTGCTTTAGAAATCTTCCCATCTTATAGATAGTTCATACATGCCTTGGGGATCTTGACAATAACCCACCTCCATTGAAGTGATGTGTCTTTGAAGTTACTGGCCTAGATTTTTATTCTTATCTTGATAATCAACTGAAAAAACTTAGGGGTGCTTGGAGTAAGCATTTACTCCTGTGAGTTCACTTCTGTGTACTGAGAAATATAGGTAGGCCATCATCCCATTTTTAGTAGGAATGAGGAACCCATTAGAAACTTTTTAGCTCATTGAGCCACTTAGCTCTTCTCTGAGAGACAAATAGAACTTTTGTAAGAGAGGGACGTTTTAAATTCTACCCATGGACTGAGTTCATTGGGATGTAGAATAGGAATCTATGGTATGTTTGTTAGCCTGTGTGCATTGATATACCTTATTCCAAATTGTCCCTTTACTTATTTATTTTGTTTCTCTAGACCAGGGCTTGGCATACTTGCCCTCAGGCCAGATCTGCCTGCTGCCAGTTTTTGGAAATAAAGTATTGTTGAAACAGCCACACTTGTTTACATGTTGTCTGTGGCTACATCTAAGCTGTAACAGCAGAGTTCCGTAGTTGTCACAGAAGGCCATGTGGCCCAGAAAGCTCAGAATAGCTACTCTCTGGCCCTTTATAGGAAAACTTCGCCAGACTTTAACGTAATGTATTAAAAATGAATTTACAGGACTTTTGTTTTATTAGCTGAAACTGTGCCCTTTTTTCATTATTTTTCTTTCCTACCTAATTCCCCACCCTACAAACTTTTCTTGTGTAGTTACCATTGTCATATTTCTCACATACTGTTTTTAATGGTTTTTCTGATTACATTTGTATATGTTTCTACTAACTTTTCTTTATAGCTCAGTTTTTCTTCATACCTAAGGCTTATGCTTATTATAGATAATATGTGTTTATTTATGAAAGAATATACATTTGTACTTTCATCTAAGTGAAACAGGGAGATAAAATATGCTACCAAAAAACTAAAAATGTTAGGTCATATGTTTCTTTCTACCTTTTTTGTGTGTGGAGGGGGAGTTGATGTGGAAAAAGTAAAATAACTTATTTTAGTAATCAAATTTTATTCCCTCTGGATTCATGATAAAACAAAAAACATGCTCTCCTGGAGAAGTTTTTTGCCTCAGGGCTAATAATTTCATTGCACCAGGACTACTTTAATCAAAGTAAAATTATTTGGTTGATACAGTAATAGGAATACTAACAATAAAGCCTGAATATCAGTATATTTTAGCAGATTGGTCTAAAAGAAAACAGCTTAAAATATACCTGAATATCAGTATGTTTTAGCGAATTGATCTAAAAGAAGACAGCCTAATGGTGGAATCCGCATGCAATTCTAGTGGCTCAGATCTCTTTATTAGCACTAAAAAACTCTTTATTAGTTTTTGTTTAATAATTTTTTTTAAAAATCATGGTAAAATGTACACAGCATAAAATTTGCTAGTTTAATCATTTTCCATGTACAGTGGCAATAAGGACACTTACATTGTTGTGCAACCATCAGCACTATGCATCTCCAGAGCTTTTTTTTATTTTGCAGAACTGAAGCTGCCCCCACTAAGCAGTAAGTCCCCATCCCTCCTCCTCTCGGGTCCCTGGTAACCACCGTTCTCCTTTCTGTCTCCCTGTGTGTGATTACCCTAGATACCTCATAAATGCCATCAGGTAATATTTGTCCTTTTGTGTCTGGTTTTTCACTTAGCATAATATCAAAGTTTGTCTGTGTCATAGCACATGTCAGAATTCCCTCCTTTTTTAAAGTTGAATAATATTTTATCAATGTATATACCGCATTTTGTTTAGCCTTTCATTCCTCAGTGAATACTTGAGGTGTTTCCATAGCATTATTTGAATAATGCTGCTATGAGCAGCAGTCTTTAAAAAATATAATGGCACTACATCATTTCTGCATTTAGCATCTGTATATTCAATCCTGCTAACTAGGCAACTGAAAAGAAAAGCAGGTTTAGATAGTTCAGGTGATCCTTCCGCCATTCGTTCCAAAGGTGTTCACTCTACATACCTCGTCTAGTATACCCTTCACCACAACCTTGAGAAGCAGTGGTCATTCCGTTGCATGGACAAAATAGGGTGGTTCACTCGCAAGTCCATGGTTGGAACTGCCTGTGGGGTACGTCAGGCCTCTGCATCCTCTCAACTCCATGCTCTCTGTGTCTCTGGTCAGGAGGAAGAGGTTATACAAAAACAATAGCAATGGCTGTTTAAAGAATGGCAGTAAGTGAAGAGATGCCGCTGTAATGAACAGATAATAATAAATGAAGTCATTAAAAAAAAAAAAAAGCTAAAGGGACAAATTTGGATCAGGATCCTAATTAGTGAATAATGCAAAGAAAGTCTGTAGAAAACCAGTGGGTTTAGTGAACACAGGCTGGGTGGAGACTTGACTGAAGCTCTACTTCAGATGCCTGGGTCATCTTATTAGACAGATGTCACTCCCACCCCGCACCCCCAGCGGCCAGGGTTGGTTGGGCAGGCCTGGCTGACTTAGATGAGTGTCCCCATCCTTCCTCACCCTGCCATGTGTCATCTTTCTGAGCTGAGAGGACCTTCCTGCTGCACAGAGGGGCACTCTCTCACTTAGCATGACTACTGTAGTTCTGTAGGGTTAAGCCTTCGGAAGCCTCAGGCCCATCCTAAATTGATGGTTCAGTTCTAGGTCAGAAAAATCTAGATCATGACAAAAATGTCGATGTGGGAGTTGCTTGCACCTGTCATGGAAGTGTGAGAAAGCCCAGGGGCTCCAAGAAGCTGGTGCTGTGGTCTCTATCTAGACCAGAATCTCCCACAACTGCACAGAGGAGCACTCAGGCATTCTCTGGAAATGAAGAGAACAGTGTCCTAACAGCCTTTCTTTAGTGACCCAGATCTTAGAGAAAAGCAGTAGTCCTTTTCATAGCCAGGCACCAAATGTGTGTGTTGCAACTGTTGCTTTTTTCCCCCAAGTGGTTGCCTGTAGGATCATCGTTTTGAACCCTGTATTTCATGAATACATTTAATGGTATCTCTGAATGGAGAGCCAGTGTTACAGTGAAGGCGGTGTATTGGAGCAGGAATCAGGAGAGCTTTATTCTAGTCCTGTCTGTGTGGCCTTGGGGAAGTCACATCATCTCTCCAGATCTGTTTCCTTTGTTTCCTCCAGGGCTTTTCAGCTTTGGAGGTCTGATTGGAGGATTAGACAGCCTCTCATAGACCCTGAAGCAGGCTTCCTGGGTGAGAAAGTAGCTGCTGGATTTGAGAGCACTGGAAAGCAGAGTGCTGGCCACCGTCGTGGGTGTGGTTCGAGGCATGCTCGAGGCACACTCCAAACCACGAGGAGTGTGTGTGTGAGTCTCCCTGGCTTGCTGCCATCCCCTCCCCTTGGCTCCTGCAATCCACATTCACTTTCCTTTGTGTCCTCGATGCTGTTGCTCATGATTCATCTCTTTCCTTCACAGATAGCTCCTCTGCTTTCCTGCACTCACCAGGTCTTTCTTGCCTTGAACAAGTCTGTAAGTTACAGTCAGGAAGCAGCTTTACTTTCCCATTGTTGCCTATGACAGCTCTGTCCCCAGGATGACCACCTTCCACCCGGAAGAACCCATAGCCTTCGGGACACTTTGGGTATTAGATCTGTTCCTAAAGATTTGTTGCAGTCCAAACCAAAATATCAACTCCAGTTTACATGCTTCTTCCCTCTCCCCAGCTCAAGTCTGGTGAGCAGGTGGGGTAGCGATTATTCAGTCCTTCCTTTTGGCTTTTTTTTAAGACTTGGATGAATAGTCATAGCAGCTTTGTTCATGATAGCTCCAAACTGGACATAACCTAAATATCCACTAAAAAGTACATGAATAAACAAATTGTGGTATCTCTCTGCAATGGAATAATACTCAGCGATAAAAAGGCATGAACTATGGTATACCTAACTATGTAAATGAATCCCAAAATAATTATTTATGCTCAGTGAAAGAAGCCACAAAAGAAAGAGTACACAGCGTTTGATTCCATGTATAGAACACTCTAGAAAATGCAGACTAGTCTGTAAAGGCAATGGGCAGGTCAGTGTTTGCTTGGGGAGTGGGAGGGAGTGAATATGAAGGGGCAGGAGGAGACTCTGGGGGATGATGAGACCGGAACTTGGAAATGATGTTTTATAGCTGGGGCCGTTCTGAGCAACAGCAAGATCCCCACTTCCCTTCCCTTCGGTATTCGTGCTGGTTTTTTGTCTTTGGTGTCCATACATAGAGGTGGAGGCAGTGAAGGGAACAGTTTTTGCTCATCAGAAGCTGCTTCTTGATCTCCCATGGCTGCTCTCTGCCCACCAGCTCCCTTGGGCATCCATTTATAGTGAGAGCCCCTCAGTTCTGGGAACCTCTTGCCTTCGTCGTTCCCTGATGTGGATTATAAATTCTCTGGCTGATCTTTTTGCATTGTCCCTCAAAGCTTCTGCTCCCAGCAGGGTTCGCTTGAGACTGCGACCTCTCTGCCACATCCTACCCCTACCCCCACCCTTTTTCAGCGGAACTTTTGAGATGACAGGAGGTCAGATACCTTGTTGGTG